TGTTAATGTATAATATGGGATATTTTACCAGTTTCTCTTTGTTATTAGGATCATTTGGACACCTCCTTCTATTATGGCCCTCTTTCTTACACTTTGAGCAATGCAGCTTAAAGTGTGTTCTGGAAACCTTCACTCCATCTGTACTGAGCACTGCATCAACAGCTGATTTTCTCCTAAGCTTCCTTGGTCTTCCAGGTCTAGCATTATACACAGGTGGTAGTGGAGGGGTTCTTTCACAAACAGGCCACTCATCTGGACCCGCCATTGGCTTTATTGACCCACCATATATCTTCAAGTACATTTCCCTAGTGTAACATGGGTGGACATAATCATCTACAGGACCTTTTCCAAACTTCAACCAAATAACACAAATGGCATGCTTGCAAGGAATGCCAGTTAGGTCCCATAGCCTGCATGTGCACATTTTCTTTTCCAAATCTACAGCATGTTGAGTACCACTCATCCCAGTTATCTCAAACTCATTATCACCACACTGATACCCTATCAAACCTGCTTCAAACTTCTCAATTTCTTGTATCTTTGTAACTATTCTTGGGCACAAGTTAGAGGTCCATTTCTTTGCCTTTTCTCTACTGGTAAAGATTTTTGTTGACAACAATTTCCTTATGGATTCAAAGCACACCAGAATGGCCTCTTGTCTTGCTTCTAAAATCACTCCATTGAAACACTCACATATGTTGTTTGTAAGCATGTCAATTTTGGAGTGTGTAGAGAAATGAGACTTTGATCATTCTCTAGGATTTTTATCTGCCAGCCACTCGAATGCTTGTTCATCTATATCATTTACCTTGACAATAACAGAGTTAAATGAATTCACAGTACAAGCTCTAGCACATTCCCATAAGGTATCTTTGATTGCTTTACCAGGAAACCCAGCCACCTTCATGTTCCCATGCAAATGTCGAACACAAAACCTATGTTCAACCTTCGGAAACAGTTCAGTCACAACTTGAATCAACCCTTTTTGTTTGTCAGACATGAATGTGAATAGATGCTCATTGTCTTCTGTGATATCAGCATCTCTTCTTAATAAATTTAGAAACCATGACCAAGCTAAGAGTCTTTTGTTCCACCCTCAACAATGGCATATGCCAAAGGAAAGATGTTATTGTTTGCATCTACACCCACTGCAACTAATAACTGCCCCCTGTCATGCTTTTTAAATGAGTTCCATCAACCTCTAGTATTGGTCTGCAGCTTTTAAACCTTTCTCGAGATGCTTCCCAACACATATACATCCTCAAGAATCTTTGTTGTCCATCTTGCTCTATGATTTCACTTAACTTCACAACACATGTGGTTAGTGGATTGCTTCTTCTAATTTCAGCAACATAACACCAAATTTTCTTAAAGTACTCATCCTCTTCACCTCTCAGCTTCCTTTTTGCCTTGCTCATAGCTCTATAAGCCTGCCTTCTACTCACATGAAACCTTTCATCACAGCAAACCTTTTGTCTAAACTCTTTGTTCTTCCAGTTTGAGTGATTTTTTTTATCTCTTTCAACCACCTGTTAGCAACTTTGATAGAGTTTACCATCTTGTTGTGATACGCCCAAGAGCACCCTTCATGTGTTGAGTGGTACTGTAGTATCCTTCAAGAGTGGGAATTTATTACCTTTCTCAGATTTATTCTCCATGGACACTCTAAGTGCTTGCAGTGGACTACACGTCTTTCCTTATCACTTTTTGCAAACTTCAAGTCCTTACAAGTCTTGAATGCATGATTCTCAAATGCTTCTTTGAATTCTTTCTTGGTAGCAAATGTCATTCCCAGCTTGATTATAGGATTTCGCATATCAGCCCGGGCACAGAATTCACTCCACTTATCACCATCAGAATCTGAACCATGTATGGATGCTTCATCTTCAAAGTTTGGTTCAGGGTCTAGCAATGATGGATTAGTTTCTGTGTTTTCTTCTTCAGTGTTTGTGTGTAGCCCTCCATACTCAGCTGTGGGATCTATGTTATTTGAAAAATCAGCATCATCTTTAGAGATAAAGTCTCCTAGATCAGAATCTTCATCATCCCCAGAAAATTCTTCTAGTTCCTGACTGTAAGCCAAATCACTACCAGACAAGTCATTCTCTACACTAGTACTTTTTTTATATATATATATATATATATATATATTTTATTGAAATAAAATGAAAGTACAATGCAAGAAAAGGAAAAAAAATAGAAATACAAGAAAGATAAAAAAAAGTGCTAAATTAAAGGAAATACAGTACAAAAAGAAAAAAGAGCTAATCCCAAGGAAAATCTCTGGTTTGAGACCTAGTTGTCATGCTGTGACGCCTCTTGTTCTTTTGAGATTTCCTATAGATTTTTAGCTGTTTGTTCAAGTTCTCAGTTGGCATGCAGTTTTCTGCCGTTATGAAAATAGCTTTGTGGCAGATCGCTCTATTGAATTTGGATTTCTTAATTTCTTCCGGGTATGAAAGAGGAGGTCGGCGATCGCTCTCGGTTGCATGTCCCAAAAAATCATCTGTGTATAGTGAGTCGTCTGAGTGATCAAAATCATCAGAGGCATCTGAGTAAGCCTGTATCAATGGCATCTGGGGTCGTTTCCCAGAAGAGAAGACATTGTTATTTTCAGTATCGACCGCCTGAATTTGATAATTAAAAATCAATTTGGATATGGATGTGGCATCTTCGGTTTCTAATATTGTCCCGTGCAGAAGGGATATCGAGTCATACGGCACTGAATGTGAATGCCCTACAAAATTAGAAAAAATATTAAGAAATTTAAATATGCTCGAATTATGGGATCCCAACGGTATCTGAATGAAGCTCCCCTTATATTTTGCCACTTTTACATAGTAACCCGCTCTGTTAATTTCCACGGAAATCATGATATCTCCAATTCTCTCTTTTTTCTCAAAATATTCCGGAGCATTATTTGTGAGATGGGTGATGAATTGCAGGATTCGAGGGACGAGTTCAAGTTTCAATTGAATTTTATGCAGCAGCGATTTTTTAATTTGAAAAAGGACCAAATCTGAATCTCTGAGTGCGAATTTGTAAGATGTTGAAGCAATTTTGATGGAGTCAAATCCATATTCTCCATAAAAGCAGTATTTTTCACCCGCGTTGAGTAAAAGTTTTGTGGCTTCCACATTTCCGTCCGCCGTATCCATTTCCTTTGTGCAATTATTTAGTCCTGATGTACTTGCACGGTCATAAGTTTGCAGAATTCCAGTCTGGCCTGAAAGAGGACTTTTTGAAATCGTGTCTCTACACTAGTACAAAACACACTTTTTACATCTCCTTTTCTACATGTGTTATTTTAAAACACATGTAGAATACTAACATGGGGTCATTTTTATAATTTTTATAAACTTTTTTACATAGGTTGTAGTCATAACCCATGTGAAATAGCAAAACGGGGTACTTTTTAAAATTTTAAGAAATAATCTAAATCGGTTATATTTGCAACCGATGTGAAACAAAAAACGGGGTAATTTTCAGAATTAATGAAACTTTATTTTAGATCGGTCAAAACCGATGCGGAAGAAATTAAAGAAAAAAAAGAATCGCTCTTCTTCTAGATCGGTGTTACCCGATCTGGATGAATTAAAAAAAATTAGCGCCTGCACTTAGCCGATTTCAGACTTAGAGTTATCTGCGTGAAGAGAAAAAAGACATAGCGATTGAGAGAGGGAAGGGCAAGATAGAGCCGTCCGCGCCTAAGCGAGTTAGGGCTTTGGACGGACTCCGAGCGGTCGGCGTTCCAACAGCCAGTGGACGGCGTTCGAGCGGAAGCAAACGACACTCGAGTGGACGGCGGACGTCATTCGAGCTGACGGCGGAAAGAGTTCGAGCAAAAACGGAAGGTCTTCGAGCAGACTTCGTTCCAGCGGCTTCCAGAGTTCGAGCAGGCAAACCTTGATTTGGTTCTTCGGCCTGCGAGTTAAGCCAGCAGACAATTGTTGACCATTAATACTTCGGCCTGCAGAGTTCTTCGGCCTGCGAGTTAAGCCAGCAGACATTTGTCGGTTTGGTTCTTCGGCCTGCAGAGTTCTTCGGCCTGCGAGTTAAGCCAGCAGACATTTGTCGGTTGCCTATTTTCTCTAAAGGTATAATTTTATTGTTTTTCTCAACTATTTTTACCATGATTTGGTTGTTATATTTGAAACTAAATGTCTGAAATCTGCCGTTAGGGATTGAATACTTCATAATTTTGGAATGAATACTTCATATTTCAACTATTAGAAAGCTTATTGTGGTATTGAATACTTCATAATTCTTTCTGGATGTTCCCCATTATGAGTAGACTCTAAATGATTTATGGCAGAATATGTTGTGTCTTTGTCTTTGCCCTCCATTTATGTGGAGTAGGATCTAAACCCACCAATTCAGGGCTTCAAATCATAAATTTGCAGACATTTGTCCTTTGGGACAGTCTTGTCTATAAATAGCAACCTAGCTGGTTGGTATGATGTGTGGTAGAGCTATGAATGGCCAAAGGCAGATTCCTTAGCTTCTTAATCGTCATGAATGAATGGATGAAGGTGACACCACTTAGCTTTTTGAGGACATAATGACGGTCTTTGTATTTGTCAAATGTATTCATCACCTCACTTGACCACATCACTCTCTAGCTAGAGTACAACCAGACTGTCCAAGTTGGTGCTGAGAAAAGGTACAGAGTTGCAACGTATGTCTCGGGGCTTGATTTCGCCTTTCAAAACCTTGGTTATGTCTTTACTTCGTGAAAAACTCGGAACGACTTTAAGTTGTCTTGTTTCTTGGTGTTGTCATACGGTTGTTATTGAACTGGTTTGGTTGTATATTACTAGTTTACCGTTTCTTTAAAAAAAAGATACTACTAAACATGTGCACTATAAAGTGCAATGAGATTGCCAACCAGATATTATTGAAGCTTAAGTCACTTTTAAAATACCCCTCATCTTGTACAAAATATTTTTTATGTATTTTTTAAATTATTGTTTGTCGTTTATCTTACTTTTTATGTGTAGAGGAATCATTGGCAGCTCTTTATTCTCTCTCCTGTCCAAAACACTATTGTCTTCTTGTGTTCTTTGGGGAATAAGCCAAATAGACAATTCAAAAATATTATTGATGCGTAAGTATTTTGTACATTCCGTTTTATTTAATTTTGGAATATATATTGTATATCTTAATTACATAAATCATTTATTATATATATATATATATATATTTATTTAATATTATAAATTACATAGTGCAATGGAGGCAAGCCGTAGGCTCAACTCAAGAAAGGGAAGAGTGAAATGGATTATTCCTGTGGTAAGTACTTACTACTATACTTTGTATGTTATTTTTACTTTTATTTGTGTAGCACCAAGTCGAATACCATAATTCCTGATTAGTAATTGTGTTGTTCTAACTTGTAGTCTCGAATGCAAGTTGGGAATTATGAATGTGGGTATTATGTGATGCTGCATATGTTGAATATTGTTTCGGCGGTAATTCTTGAAATGTGGGATGAGGTACTTTATTATTTTATTTACATCCAATATTTTTGCTCCATGTAATGTTTTTAAATTGTAGCGATTCGCCAATCCGGAACCATTCTCATCAGAAGAGATTGATGAAGTACGAACTCGTTGGGCATCATATTTCTTAGAAATGACGCAATCCATCAACTACACATGATGAACCTGTTTGTTTAAGTTTTTGAGTGATTATGAGACTTGTAACTTTATACAATTTGTTATTACTCTAGACTTGTGCAAGCTAAGGATTGTTTTATTTTAGCTTATTATTATGTACTAAATTGTTACTTAAACTTGTTTAACATTAGTGGAAGAATTGAAAAATAGCTTGTGTTGTTGTGTTAGATTGATCGTGTGAACAGGTGAAAAATTGTGCTATGGTGGTTGGTGATACTGTTAATGGTGTGATTATATTATAAATGGGGGTCATATTGCAATTTTTTTTTGAAAAATTACCGAAAATATCGAGGCTTTTCACATCAGTTGATAAATACCCGTTGTGATTGTTTTTCTACATGGGTTATAACCGATGTGAAAACCATATATTCCGGAAAAAAATTGAAGTTTTTCACATCGGTTGATAAAAATAACCGATGTGAAAGCTTTTTTACATGGGTTATAACCGATGTGAAAATCCTATGTTCCGGGAAGCTTTTCTACATGGGTTGTTTTACACCCGATGTGAAAATTCCACATCGGTTATAACCGATGTGGAATACCATTTAAAACGCCGTTCTGGACAACCTTCTAGATCGGTCACTGCACGACCGATGTAGAAGAAATTTTCACATCGGCTGTTTGACCGATGTTAAAAATCTCGACTTTTCACATGTGCTGGAACCACATCGGTTATTTGACCGATGTGAAAAGCCTTTTTTGACCGATGTGAAAAGCCTTTTTTGTACTAGTGCTAGCTCTTCACCTTCATCAACCTCATCTAATTCAACCGAAAACTCCACAACCCTACCCACATTTCCATCATTCACAAACCCCCAAATCTCTGAGTAACCTTTCAACTGTTGTAATGAACAAGCTGAATAGGAAAATACTCTTCTTACCTTATCACTTTGAGCAAGTTCTTTAAGTTTCTCTTTCAAAGCAATTAAACCAAATTCATCCACATCTATATCACGAAATATATGGCTAGTGCCTCCTCTGTAAGATGGTCTGGCAGTATCATGGACTCTTCCTCCGTACACCAACTTGAGAGTAAATGTGGTTTCACATGGGGCTGTTTCATAAAAAGCATTCAATGAGGTAGGTCAATTATTCAAAGTGGTTCCCACAACCAAATAATAAATACATACACATACACAATACAAATATCAAGCATACAAAATTTCCACAGTACAATAGGCACACACCAAACATTACATAAAGTTAAAAAGGAAAAAGAATCTGGTCCCATTTGTCAAATCCAAAGAAAGGGAAAAGAGAATCTAACCAGAGATAAACCCCACCCTACCTTCTCCAAAAGCATAAAAAACCTTTCTGGTTATCTTCACCAGTTCACAAAACATCTACCCACATCATTTGTACCTAAGTTCACCAAATTTAGAAGGACAGATTTCATACATTTATGTTTGTCTTCAACGGGTGTTGTACTCGTCCCTTCTCGTGCGGTCTACGCCCCATTCCAATTGTAGGCACTCCACTAGTTCGTGTCCTCATTCTTAGCTTACGTACTAGGGCTCAAAGACCGGTTGTAAGGGAAAGGGGAAATTTCAGGGTCTATGGTGGAGGGAGAGAATCTTAGGTGGTAATTAACCGTTTTTATAACTTAAATTACTAAAATATCCTTAAACATTGCCGACTTAAATGTTAAAGTTTTAATTCCGTCGGAGATGTTGCTGGAAGGATGAGGATTGGTAAGGAACGAAAACGAAAAGACAAAATTTGGCGAAATTGAAGGTCATGTACAAAATGTGGAAGTGGCATAATAATCAAACCAATACTGGAATTCTTTCTAAAGATTAATATCCGTATACCAACTCCAAATTAATTTGAAAGGGATAGAGCAATGTGTAATGCGTAACAGCAAATTCTTGCCGGCCCAACGACCTATTTCGTCATTTTTTTGAAAACCCCAGTTTGTCTAATCTAATTGAACCAGCCCATCTCCGACAATCCAAATTCCGGGCGTTCTGATACTTTTCCCGACGGCCTGTTCGCCGGCAACCCTCGTCAATAGTCTCTGCACATCCACACTTATGAATGGACGTAGATAGATAGAGAGAGTTCGTAGCTTTCGTTCTAATGGCGGGTCCGTCGCTGATGGATACCATCTTCCAGAGATCCTTGGATGACTTGATTAAAGGAATCCGGCTATTCAGCGGCGGATGCGGGGAATCGGGTTTTATCAACAAGTCCGTCGACGAGATCCGCCGCGAGATCAAGTCTACTGATCTTCAGACAAAGGCCACAGCACTTCAGAAGCTGACGTATCTCCATTCTCTCCACGGTGTCGACATGTCATGGGCGGCTTTCCACGCCATCGAGCTTTCTTCCTCGCAATCTTTCATGTACAAACGCATCGCGTACCTCGCCGCCACGCTTTCCTTCGACCCTTCCACCACTGACGTCATCCTTCTTCTAACTCATCAGCTCCGCAAGGACCTCTCCTCCTCTAATCATCAAGAGGTTAGTCTTGCCCTTCACGCTCTCTCTTCCATTTCCACTGTTGACTTGGCCCGTGATTTGACGCCTGAACTTTTCTCTTTACTCAATAGTAACAAAAATATCATAAGGAAGAAATGTAATGCCACAGTATTGAAAATATTCGACCTATACCCGGATTCAGTCAGAGTATGTTTCAAGAGATTGGTAGAAAATTTGGAGTGCTCTGATCCTGGTGTGGTGTCAGCAGTTGTGGGTGTTTTCTGCGAACTAGCTACTAAAGATCCTAGATCATATTTACCCTTGGCGCCTGAGTTTTATAAGATCTTAGTGGACTCTAGGAACAATTGGGTATTGATCAAGGTTTTGAAGATTTTTGCCAAGTTGGCACCTTTGGAGCCAAGGTTGGCCAAGAGGCTGGTGGATCCTATTTGTGAGCATTTGAGGAGGACAGGGGCTAAGTCTTTGGCTTTTGAGTGTATTAGAACTATCATGAGCAGTCTGAGTGAGTATGAAACTGCTGTGAAGCTTGCAATAGAGAAGTTAGCTGAATTTATGGCTGATGATGATCCGAATCTTAAGTATCTTGGACTGCAGGCACTCACGACAGCTGTGCCTAAACATTCATGGGCTGTTTTGGAGAATAAGGAGTTTGTGATCAAATCTCTGAATGATGTTGATGTGAACATCAAGCTTGAGGCCTTAAGGCTGGTGATGGCAATGGTGTCTGAGGATAATGTGCCTGAAATTTGCAGGGTTTTGATAAACTATGCACTGAAATCAGATCCTGAATTTTGTAACGAGATTCTGGGGTCCATCTTGTCTACTTGTTCAAAAAATGTCTATGAGATCATTATTGATTTTGATTGGTATGTGTCACTTCTTGGGGAAATGGCAAGACTTCCACATTGTCAAAAGGGAGAAGAAATTGAGAACCAACTTGTAGATATTAGTATTAGGGTGAGAGATGCTAGACCACAGCTTGTTCGTGTTGGGCGTGATCTGCTTATTGATCCTGCATTGCTTGGGAACCAATACATACACTGTATATTATCTGCTGCTGCTTGGGTGTCCGGTGAGTTTGTTCAGTTCTCAAAGAATCCACATGAACTTATTGAAGCATTGCTTCAACCGCGAACTAGTCTCCTACCACCTTCAATAAGAGCAGTATATATCCAGTCTGCACTCAAGGTGTTGACCTTTTGCATTGGTCACTATCTCTTCTCAGGTCAGCCTGTTTCTTCTGGAGTAACACATTTAATCCCATTCGAGACTACAGATTCCAATATACCCATTAGTAATACTTCTCCAACTGGAATTGAAACAGACGAGGGAATCAGTCCATGTGCTTTATATTGGCCAGCTGTAGATGGAGATGTTTCTAGAGAATCTATTAAAAATCTTTTCAATCTTGTAGAAGCAGGTCTGCATCCATTATTAGGGAGTCATGAGGTGGATGTACAAGAAAGAGTAAGAAACGTCATAGGATTTGTTGAATTGCTGCGTGATGAATTTCCTGGTTTTTTCGCCCAGAGGGAAGGTGAAAATGGAATAGGAGGAGAACTAAAAGCTCATGAAATTATCAAACTGATGCGTGGTGCATTTTTGGAGGAACTAGTTCCTATATCTCTAATTTCTCAGGAAAGGGTACCTTTACCAGATGGACTAGTTCTTAATGAGAATCTCAGAGACCTAGAAGCAATCTGTGGTGGTGATATTGTGTTGCCCACATCAGGTTTATTTTCTTTTGGAAGACCACATCATGTTGAAAAAAATGATATTCATGGTTTTAGCCAAGAGAACGAGGAATCTGAACCAATGATTGAGTCGACATCTCTACTTGCCGAGCATCGTAAGAGGCATGGCTTGTATTATTTACCTTCGGACACTATGAAGGACACATTACCTGATGATGACTACCCTCCTGCTAATGATCCTATTATTGGAGGAGATACTGACAAGACAGCGGATCTTATCAAGCTAACAGAACAATCTTTTATGCCAAAGAGGAAACCAAACCAAACGAAGCCTAGGCCTGTGGTGGTAAGGTTGGATGATGTTGATGGAACAAATATTGTGCCCAAAAAGCTTGAGTCGAAAAATGATCTAATATCAGGTGCGGTTCGAGATGTTCTTAAAGGTGATTATGATTCTCTAGCATCTACATCACGGGGTATGAAGCCTGAGAAGTTATTATCAAGAAAGAGAAGGGAGAAGCAATCAAATATAGATAACACTTCTGGACGAACTGATGACTGGATGACTGCCAAGAGCACTGAGAATGTGGATTCAGTGAAGAGCAAGCACCATGGTCATGGTAAAGAGAAGAAAACTAAAAATCCGGGCAAGAACAAATCCCGACTTCGACCAAATATAGCTACATCTATTCAAGCTCAATCACCTGTCATTCCTGATTATCTCTTGTAGCATTGGAGGTTCAGAAAAATAGAAACTTAAAGTTTTGAAGGTGAGCTCTGTACATCCATCAGCATACTCTTTCCTCTTGGTTATCAATACAACTCTTTTGAGTAGGACTGGCGTGTTTTTTTGAATCTTCATAATTATTAAGAAATGATATTTTGTGTCCACACGATCTAGCCTAAGTATTACAAAGAGCCAATAGTAACTCATCTGCACCAGGTCTTCCTTAACACATTGATTGATTCACACTTTAATAGTACTCTTTCACTACTAGTAGCCCACTTTTCATTTTGCAAAATATATATTGTTATTGCCCCTAGTATTTGTGACATGCTCCTCAAGTAGCAGGAAGTACTGTAGTATCATTATACTCCGTAATTTTTACATAAAGCGTTTAATCAACAAGTTCTATAAAACGTTAAACATAAATTTGATACTAGTATATCGCAGTAGCAAGGTGGTGGGTGTGTATGAGCATTTTTTTTAGGGTATCAGAGACACAACTTTCCTCCGTGCCTTCTTTGAATATCACTCACAAATCACTATCAGACCTGCAGCATAAGAAAGCTCCAGAATACTGGAAGGAGCTGCAACCGTCACAGAAGGAAGGTCAGTTGACACTTTATTTGGGAAAAAAACTCCAAAAGGAAAGGGATTGCACTTGGTCGAGAAAAGGTATAAATGTACCAAATGAATATGGGAACCAAAAAGGATAAATTGATGGCAGATTAGCAGGGTATGAGGTCAAAATCAGTTGATGAAACTTTCGTGGCTTAACTCTCTTCAAATGAAATGCACGTTTGATGGCATTTTGTTTATGCTTGTCTTAAAATCTTATTATTAGCAACGGTTTACTTATTTTACTGTGCTTCACAAATCAGCGGATATGTAAAATGGTCATTCAGTATTGAGAAATTTAACCAATAACTTGGAAAGTAGTTTTTTAATTTTGTTCTTAGATTTTTTATTCATTAATGCCCGGCAACCATCTCTTCTTAAAAAAATATTATTTCCCTCGTTCCATTACTTTTGTTCCATCTTTTTTATATAGCCAATCTCACTTATATAAAAAAAGGATAAAAATATGAGTTAATAAAAAGGATACAAAGAGATCAATCCTCTACACGTATATTTTACCTCCATTTCAGCTTTTCAAAACTCATACTCTTGCGCAATCCGAAATATTTTGGAATATTATTGGTGTTGTGTGATCTAATTGACTCTCGTATATTTTGGTTTGGTGCGCTATGAACTGGTCTTATTTGTTCGGAGCCATCCTAGTACCTTGTTTGATTATGTTCAGTTCGATATGAACATATAAAAAATTTTTAAAAAAAAAGGAAAAAAAATAAAGAAAAAAGAAAAAAAGAAAAAACAAAGTCATTTGTCAATAATACTTGTGTTATAGCCAGTAGTCATCTAATTAATGAAGTAGCAAAAATGTCTTTTAATTGATGCCTAATTTGACATAACAATAAAATATCTGTCATTAACTATTGATAAAAATGTCAATAACTATAAAATCACGGCCAAACTAAAATAGGACACCACCTATGTGTTAGGCGTCACCATGTCGGACGAGAATCGAAAATAATATATTTTGACCAATGTTTGTATATATCAATGCTATTATTGCATTCAGCACCAAAAACGCGATGGAGCCGTTCGTATTGAAGTTGTCAAACCAAGTAATCAGATCAAACGGGGTGATATATTATATGGTTCATATGCAACGGAAAGACCATTTCTCCCAAGGTTGGGAGTTCCATACGAGGAAACCCTGTCCCTAATTTCCCCTAGAAATATGCACATCTTTTTCCCCAAAAGAGTAATTTCAAATTCCTGCGATCTTATTGTTTTTCGAAGATCAGAAGACAGTTTGGAGTACTTGAGATTCGGCCACTTGGTGTGTATGTATAACAAAAGCTAATGAGGAGTAATTGACGTTGGTATTCTCAATCTCTTTCGTCACTTTCTCTCTAAATAAATCTTAGGCTCCTTCCTTCTCATGTTAATTATTAACATGCCTGCAACTCTTTCATCGTTGCTATTTACTCATCCAAAGAATTTCATCGGTAATTTGCTTTAAACCATAGCTCAATTAATCTATGTATTTCATTTCTATCGTTTGTTTCGTGTTCTTTGATCGGTCGGATTGATTCTATTACAAACATTGATTTTCTACCTTCCTAGCTAGCTTAATTAGTTAAGTCACACATATTAGCAAACATCAAGGCTCAAATACAAAAGAATCATGAAATAAGGCCAGATCAAAAAGAGCTGATCAAACATCAAAGCTTCTTGAATTGGTGATCAATTGATTACAATTAAGAATCTTTGTATTCCTACCCGGCCTCACCCCCACCCACCCCTTCCACAACACCATCCTACATAGGATAGATGTGATGTACCAACATTTGTGTCAACAAAAATATAATAAAAAGTCCCCTCATCTTCTAGCTTAGCTCCATTTTGATCTTATATCATTTCCCTCTACCGTGAAAATGAAGAATGAAAAAACCCCATTAATGACATCAAATAAGCTCATGAATTCTCAAAGGAATATTCAGAACCTCATTCTCTATTTCCTATTTTTTGTCTCCGGTTTAGTCATTGGAATGTCCATAAGTTTTTACCTAAAAGCCCCTCCCTTCAACCTACAACTCAAGCTGTTCTCCGCCCACCCCCCACCACTGAAGCCGCCCGCGCCTCGAAAAATCACGAATGAACCCCTCTCCGACTTCCCTCAGCTGGATGTGACGACATTTTCGCAGTCGGAATCTCCACCGCCCTCGAAAAAACGGGCAGAATATAAACGGGTAGTGGCGACATCCGACTCGTTCGGCAAATCCAGCCTACAAGAATACCTTAAGCCGCCACCGTGCATGCATGGGATGAGTGATGAGGAGCTGCTATGGAGAGCATCAGTCGTCCCAAGAGTGAAAAATGCGCCCTTTACTTACCGCCCCAAAGTTGCTTTCATGTTCTTGGCTAGAGGGAGCTTGCCATTGGCGCCTCTTTGGGAGCGGTTCTTCAAAGGGCATGATGGTCTTTATTCCATCTATATTCATTCCCAGCCATCCTTCAATGGAATTGCTCATGGAGAAGGTCCTATGTTTCACGGGAGAAGAATACCTAGTAAGGTAAGTCACTCATTTTGTTCCTTGACTATTACTTACTTCGTATTTATTTTACTTTAATTTTGTGAATTTTAGAATTTTCATATCCCAATTTTACTTTAAATAGGACCCACTCCGTATAATATGGGAAAATCCCATGAGTAAAAACGTTGTAGAATTCCAAAGTAAAATTGTCATATTTTTATTTTATTATCTAAATAAAAATAATTACTGTCAAATTTATGAAATATTGACATATTTAAACTCCAGTAATGTCATATAAGATATGATAGTAATTACTCTTATTTAAAAAGTAAAAATATAAAAGACTTATTTTAAAATTCACAAATAATTTACTCTTATTTATGACAATTGTTTCTTATTGTCCACACTAAGGCTATGGATAGGCCTGTCAATGGGTCGGGTCTAGACCCGGACCCGACCCGGACCCGGTTGTTTTTAACGGGCATGGGTCCTTATTTTATTCCGTTTACCCGGACCCGAACCCGGACCCGTTAGTACTTTTAATAAACGGGTCGGGTATGGTACATATGATTCCGACCCGTTAAGGACCCGGACCCGTTTAAAATTTCTTATTAGTATATATACACACTAATATATAAAGAGATTAGTTATAATACTTCAAATAAAAATACAAACTAATATATATATAAAGTGATTAGTTTTAATTCTTTGATTAAATATATACAAATTAATACATACCTAATGTATAAGTGATAATATAATAGTATATAATATCCTTTTTGTCCAAAAGAACTTTTTGTGACCTAATTTCTAGTCTAATATACGAGTATTCTATGGGAGAGAAAGAGACACAAAGTACGGAATTGTACGCATCTACAACAAACGATATTTTATTCAATAAAAGTATTAATTTTCTATGATAAACCTTGATTTTTTTTTAAAAGTGAAGATATATTTTGCTCATAAATTTGTGCACTTTGATTTACATTTCATATACATGTTTTGCTATTTTTAAAAAATTATATAATGTTGTGTCAAAAAAATTATATAATGTTGCTGCACTTGTGCACATGATTCTTGGCGGGTCTACCCGACCCGGTTCCGAGACCCGTTGGGTCCGGGTCCGGGTCCAAATTTTTAGACCCGCCGGGTAAACGGGTCGGGTCCGGGTCCTTTATTTACTTAGCGGGTCCGGGTCTGGAACACTACGTTCCGACCCGGGCCCGACCCATTGACAGGTCTAGCTATGGATACAATGTAACACATGCATTTGAAAGTAATACTATATACGGTATAAATGAATACCTAAAATAGTACTCATTCATTCTTATTTGAAGAACTTTTGTACTTTATAAATAGGATTAAATGAGTCTTATTTTAGAAATAAAATATACTCAATAATTAGTTTTAGATGCACACTTTGTTTATGGTTTAGTTTTATATGTATTGAGTAATTTCATGAAAATAATCTATAACTCATTTCTCGACGACAATATTAGTGTTCTTAACAATAATTTAAAAATAAAACAAATAAATTGCAACCTCCGGTTACCACCGCTAGATTCAGCCACCTCTACGCTTTAATTTCCTGTCCTTGCTACAATCTCCGTTATTGATATGCCAACCCTAAAATGAGACAAATTGTCATTGAATTGCCTGAAAAATGAAATAAATTCATTGTTAAATTGTAACACCACGGAAGAACTTTATAGTTTTAGAACGTACATAAACATAACAGTGTTTTAGAACTTACAACAGTACATTAATAATAATCTTACTTCGTATTAAATGAAAAGCGAATGAACTTATGAAATAAATCGGCCATCCACTTCATGCTCTTCAAGACTTCAACTAATTAAAACAGTGTTTTAGAACATAACAATAACCTTTTTTTTTTCAACTAATAATAACCTAATCAAAATTATTTGGCCACTACTTTAATCCTATCATCCATTTTTTGTTAAGACTCGGGGTTCCATCCTAAAAGGTCAACCTGATAGGAGGAGTAGCCCGTGTTTTAATATAGCACTTTGTTCATCCAAATGCTTCTGGTGTGGGACATTTAACACCCCTCCTCACGACCAGACACTTCGTCTGAATTGTGAAATCATTCATTTTTTTCATCGGTCTGTTTTTTTTATCCGGCCGTTTTTATAATCGTGTCATCATTTTTCATAAGGGGCCCCACACCATGGATCGATTTGGCTCTGATACCATGTTAAGACCCAGGGTTCCTTCAATCTTAAAAGGTCAACCTGATAAGAGGAGTAGTCCGTGTGTTAATATAACACTTTGTTCATCCATATGTTTCCGGTGTGAGACATTTAACATTTTTTATACGGAGTATATTGTCCCGTGGTATATAACTACATTTCTTCTTTATTACTCCGTCCTTGTTATATACGAAGTATACTTCAAGTCTTTAACTTTACTCACACACCATATTTTGACTTTGTATTGTTAAATAATGTTATAACAGAATATCATTAAATCATAAATGTTTTTTTTTGTCTTAATGTAAAAGCATTTTGTTGTTTTTATATGAATTGTTTTTATAAAATATGTTTGGATGCTGTTGTTGCGGTGGTTGAATGGTAAAGCATTTTAAAGCAAAGATGTGGACAGAATTCAAAGTGGCATGGGACGAGAGAGAAACGCAAGAACTAACAAAAACAAAAATTTCTATAGTTTAATTTTGCGTTTTTGTATATTTAGTAATTGCTTCCACGTAATATCAATCGCAGTGTCTAAAACTAGACCTTATGTTTATCATATGAACTAAAATTGTAGGTGAGCATTTCAGTACAAATCGGGCTTATGTTTGTCTATTTCGGCACAACATGGTCTAACATAATGGAATTAGGAACGTTTCTTAAAAGGAAAAAGAAAAAACTATTGTTACACATTTATTTATTGTACTCACACTTACACACTTGTGTATGTGAAATGTTTTTTTGTCTGTATATAGACACAACGCATTTGAAGTGTCTGTGAAATAAGTTGTGTCTGTATACAGACAAAACAAAACGCTTCACAGACACGAACGTGTAAGTGTGTGTACAAAAATGTGTACCTCAAGTCTGATTGTTCTTAAAATATGACTAAAAATAATATGATCTTCATAAACACATACATAGTATTACCTTATATTGTCCCAAAATCAATAAAGAACATTGTCATTTCGAAATCATACTTTCATATTATGAAAGGCTAAAGGGTCAAATAGGCCCTTGAACTGACTTAAAGTGTTCAATTAGCCCCTTATATAGGAGGTTCTGCCCGGCCGTCTCTAATTGGGGCGGTTCCCGGTGGAATTTTTTGATGAATTTTTTTGAGCATCTTCTTCATTAAGTCTAGTTTACCCATACCAAATTTCAGCTAAAAATTCAACCGGAAAGGCAGTCAAATGATTTTTCGAAATGTACTGCGCTGTTTAACTTCGCAGTTATCTTCAAAAAATCATTTGACTGTCTTCCCGATTGAATTTTTAGCTGAAATTTGGTATAAGTAAACTAGACTTAATTAAGAAGATGCTAAAAAACTTTCATCAAAAAATTCCACCGGGAACCGCACCAATTAGCGACGGCCGCGCAGAACTATTATATAAGGGTCTAATTGAACACTTTAAGTCAGTTCAGGGGCATATTTGACCCTTTAGCCTATTATGAAATAATCACACGTTAATATCGCAGTACTATGCTTTTATAGTACAACTACTACGTATAATATATCTTATTTATTGATTTTATTCCTATTTAGGAAACACATATAGTACAACTATGTAGTGCAATCACATCAATTTTACTCCAATTTAGGACATAATTTCTTATGGAGTTAAACCAACAAACTTGGACTAGAAACAAATCATGTGCAATTCAATTATCAGTTCTCCACCACCTTTACCTTTTAAAACCATATAAATCCTAATCAAGACATAATACAATCAAACTAAAAACAACTATATAATCTTAATACTATATCAGACCCTTGAAGAACTTCCTAATTTGGATTGGGCGCACTTTAATGAATTATGAGCTTTTGTTTGATTTCCATTCGGAATGCCCATATTTGCCTCTGATTTCCCTTTCAGGGAATAGTTTGTGTGGCTGACACTTCCCCTATATTTCAAAATCAATCACAAACATACATCTCATTTTGAGATGGATACAATATTATTGATTACACTCGTTTGACACTTTCCCTTGGGGTAGTAATAAATTGATGATAATTTATTTATCATACAAGGAAAGAATATAAATTAAGAACCGAGAAATATATATTTTAAGAAAATTCATGATAAAACCAAACCGGACCGGCTAAAGCAAGACAAGCAACCAATGTGGAATCCGAATATAATTTGATTGTAGTTTGATAATCATTCTTCATTCTTTATTTCCCCAATTTCAGTCAATTTGATAATTATAGACCAAAATAAAGTGAGACGTTTGATATAGAAAATGATTGGAAATTGTTATTATTGTTGGACATGCATGCAGACAGTAGAGTGGGGAGAGTTCAACATGATCGAGGCGGAGCGGCGGCTAATGGCGAACGCGTTGCTGGACTTCTCCAACCAGCGCTTCGTCCTGCTCTCGGAAGCCTGCATCCCGCTGTTCAACTTCTCCACCGTCTACTCCTACCTCATGCGCTCCACCAAGAGCTTCATCGAGGCCTACGACCTCCCCGGCCCAGTGGGCCGCGGCCGCTACAACAAGCTCATGGAGCCCGACATCACCCTCGACCAGTGGCTCAAGGGCTCCCAGTGGTTCCAGGTCCACCGCGACATCGCCGTCGAGCTCGTCGCCGACACCAAGTACTTCGCCCTCTTCAGGGACTACTGCCAGCCCGCCTGCTACTCCGACGAGCACTACTTCCCCACCTTCGTCACCATGAAGTTCTGCGACAACAACTCCAACCGGACGCTGACCTGGGTTGACTGGTCCAAGGGTGGCCCCCACCCCTCCACCTATGATGGCCCCGACATCTCCGCTGACTTCTTGAACACCCTCAGGAACGGGACCCGCTGCCAGTACAACGGGAGGACAACCGACATTTGCTACCTCTTTGCTAGGAAATTTTTGCCCACGGCGTTGAATAGGCTATTGAGATTAGCACCAAAAGTCTTGATGTTTAATTAATCATGACTCCATTATTTATCAATCAATATACCAAAATTACGGAGCACTAATCACCTCTTTAATTATTACTCCGTATTACTTTCATTAGCCTCAATTCGATCATCCACCTTCAATTCTTTCATTTTATATTTTTTATTATTATATATTTGCATAATACTCCGTATAACATTCTTTTCTATAGTGATAACCGGTCAATAGCCACTTTTTACAAGAGCAATGGACGATTACGGCAAAATCCACATTTATGTAGGGCCCCTATGTATATAACAGTACGTAGTAGGTTTAATTTTTTACGATTTAACAAGATTTAATTTTAGGTTTAATTAATAGGGTTAAATTTTCCGATCAAACATTCGAGCCCAGCTGATTGTGAGGTTACAGTGCCTAGTGGGAGGTCTCGAGTTCGAAACACACTAGACACATAAGGGTTCGAAACTCAGTGAAGCGAGTTTCAGCCCTGATTACTCCAGACCCCAGACCCAGACTGTTAGAAATTAAACTTGGCTTAGCCCAATCATTGGGTCCATTAGAAGTTAACTTATTGGACTAGTAGTTGTACGAGAAATAATAAATTAGTTAGCCCATAAGTAAGAGTTAGTAAAGAAAGGTCCAAAGTACTCTTTAGTTAATGTACTTATTAAATGATTCTAGAATATTCCTAAGCTAGAATTCTATAGAATATTGTAGAATCTTAAGGAAATAGGAGTGCCTAGAAGAATCTTATGAGACCTATAAATAGAGCACTCCTCATTCATTTGTAATACAAGCCAAAAGCTTCAAAATCAATAAAAGTTTCAAGTTCTCCCAAAATCATATCTCTCTAAAATTCTCTCTTCCACACACAATTGGCTAAATACAATACTCATAAACTCCTTTATTCCAACAAAGTGGTATCAGAGCCATCAACCCTTTCAAGAAAAATGAATGCCAACAGCTTACTTCCATTCCAATTTCATCGTCTCACCAAAGATAACTACTCTAGTTGGTGCATTCGCATGAAAGCCTTGCTACGATCTCAAGATGCATTAGAGATTGCTGAGAAGGGTTATGAGGAACCTCAAGATGATTTTACTTTAAATCAATCCCAAAGGGATAGCCCCCAAAGGAGTAGGAGGAAGGATCAACAAGCTCTCACTCTCATATATCAATGCTTAGACGAGCCCATGTTCGAGAAGGTTGCAAATGTCACCACTTCTAAAGAAGCATAGGAAATACTTCATAATTCTTTCAAGGGAGTCGACAAGGTGAAGAGAATTCGTCTTCAAAATCTTAGAGGTGAGTTCGAACAACTTAAAATGAAATATTCAGAATCAATATCCGATTATTTCTCTACAGTGTTGGGAATTGTAAATGAGATGAAGAGAAATGGGGAGGAACTAAAGGACATAACAGTGATTGAGAAAATCCTTCGCTCTCTCACCAAAGACTATGATTATATTGTGGTGGCCATAGAAGAGTCCAAAGATTTAGAGACCATGACCATTGATCAACTTATGGGCTCACTACAAGTCCATGAAGAAAGAGTGGTGAGAAGTAAATCTGATGAAACATTGGAGCATTCTCTTTACTCCAAACTCTCTTTTAAAGAAAGAGGGGAGAATAGAGGTGAAGAAAGAGGCCAACGAGGTCGTGGTGCACGTGGAAGAGGTGGTTGAGGTCGTGGTTATACAAAATTCAACAATGAAGAAAGAATTCAATATACACAAGCATCTAGAGGCTGTGGGAGAGGAAGCAAACCACAAAGGTATGACAAGTATCAGCTGAAGTGTCATAATTGCAATAAATATGGCCACTATGCATATGAATGCAAGAACTCACATCATGTGAAAGAAGAGGCCCATCTCATGGAGATGAATAATGAGGTAGAACTTACCTTGTTGATGGCAAATCATGAAGAACAAACAAAGAAGAGCACGTGGTATTTAGATACCAGAGCTAGCAATCACATGACGGGAGATAAGAGCCTGTTCATGAAGGTGGAACAAACTCAAGGTCACGTTACCTTTGAAGATGAATCTAAAGTTGTGGTGAATGGTAAATGTAACGTTCTAATTCGCCTTAATGATGGAAGTCACCAATTCATTTCCGATGTTTACTATGTGCCCAATTTGAAAACAAATATTCTAAGTATGAGACAACTCTTAGAAAAGGACTGTGATATTTACTTAAAGAATCGTAGTCTTTTTATATGAGACAATAATGGGAGACTAGTTGCTAAAGTGCTGATGACTAGAAACCGAATGTTCTTGTTTGATATTCAAAGAGATCAAGCCATATGCTTGAAAAGTTGCTTGAAAGATGAGTCATGGATTTGGCACTAAAGATATGGGCACTTAAACTTTGGTGGCTTAAAAATGCTATCGTTTTAAGGCATGGTAAAAGGTTTGCCATTCATAAACCATCCCGATCAGCTATGCGAAGGATGCCTACTTGGGAAGCAATCAAGGAAACCATTCCCTAAAGAAGTTGCCTCAAGAGCTAAGGAGCCATTGGAGTTAGTCCATACAGATTTATGCGGTCCTATTACTCCATGTTCTCATGGTAAAAGTAAATATTTTCTCACTTTCATCGATGATTACTCAAGGAAAACATGGGTATATTTTCTTAAACAAAAATCAGAGGCCTTTGAAGCATTCAAGAAATTTAAAGCTCTTATTGAGAAAGAAAGTGGGTACGTTATTATTAAAGCCATGAGATCAGATCGAGGTGGAGAGTTCACATCAAAGAAGTTTAATCAATTTTGTGAAGATAATGGCATCCGTCGTCCCATGACTGTCCCGCGCACATCACAACAAAATGGTGTTTTCGAAAGAAAAAATAGGACTATCCTAAACATGGCTCGAAGCATGCTAAAGACGAAGAATATGCCTAAAGAATTTTGGGCTAAAGCTATGGATTGTGCCGTCTATCTTCAAAATCGCTGCCTGACGAAGAGTCTAGATGGAATAACTCCATAAGAAGCATGGCATGGAGGTAAACCCGGAGTCTCGCACTTGAGAGTATTTGGATGTATTGCATATGATCATGTACCTGATCAAACTAGATCAAAGCTTGACGACAAGAGTGAGAAGTTTGCATTCATTGGATATGACAAACACTCAAAAGGGTACAAACTCTACAATCCGGATTTGAAGTAGCTTATAATAAGTCGTGATGTGGAGTTTGATGAAGAAGGCTCGTGGGATTGGAGCATTGATGACAAAGAAGACTATACTCTCTTACCTCCCATGGAATATGAAGAAGAAGTTGAAGAGAACCATGAAAATATAACTCCTCCACCATCTCCCACTCAATCTCAAGCTTCCCTACCAAGTTCGGATGAAAGAGAAATACCATGCATGAGAAGCATTGAAGAGCTTTACAAGGTAACACAAAACTTGAACTCAAATGATGAACTTACGCTCTTTTGTCTATTTGCTGATTGCGAGCCACTAAGTTTTGAAGAAGCCACAAGAAACAATAAGTGGAGAGATGCAATGGATGATGAGATCAAGTCAATTGTGAAGAATAAAACGTGGGAGCTAGCTACACTTCCACCAAAGCATAAAGCAATTGGAGTGAAGTGGGTTTATAAGATCAAGAAAATTGCAAAAGGAGAAGTTGAGAATTACAAGGCAAGACTAGTAGCCAAAGGCTACGCCCAAAGACATGGCATTGATTATGAAGAAGTATTTGCGCCCGTTGCTAGATTGGAAACAATAAGATTGATAATCGCACTCGCGGTTCACAACAAGTGGAAGATACATCAAATGGATGTCAAGTCCGCGTTCTTACATGGCTTCCTAGAAGAAGAAGTCTATATTGAGCAGCCCGAAGGCTACAAGGTGAAAGGGCAAGAAGGTAAAGTGTTGAGGCTAAGAAAGGCTCTTTATGGGCTTAAACAACCACCAAGAGCTTGGAATAGTAGAATTGATCGATACTTCCAAGCTAATGGATTCGTGAAGTGTCCACAAGAACATGCTTTGTATGTCAAGAGAAATCATCAAGGAGACATATTGCTTGTGTGCATATACGTGGACGATCTCATCTTTACAGGTAATAACATGATGATGTTCGATGAGTTTAAGCAAGTCATGACAAGGGAGTTCGAGATGACTGACATTGGGCTTATGAGTTACTATCTTGGCATCGAGGTGAAGCAAATGGATGATGGTATATTCATCACTCAAGGAGGATACGTGAGAGAAGTACTCAAGAAGTCTAACATGGAGAACTCCAACCCTGTAAGTACACCTGTTGAAAGTGGACTAAAGCTATCAAGGTATGATAAAGGAAATTTGATTGATCCAACTTACTTTAAGAGTCTTGTGGGGAGCTTAAGATACTTAACATGCACAAGACCGAATATTCTCTTTGGTGTTGGACTTGTTAGTCGATTCATGGAGGCCCCCACAACAACTCATTTGAAGGCCGCAAAAAGGATTTTGCGATATCTCAAAGGCACCGCCGAATATGGGTTGTTTTACTCTTCATCTGATGAGTTTAAGCTGGTTGGATATTGCGATAGTGATTGGGGTGGAGATATCGATGACCGCAAGACCATAACTGGGTTCGTGTTTTACCTGGGAAACAACGCTTTGACATGGGTTTCAAAAGAGCAATCGATAGTCACTCTGTCCACTTGTGAAGCCGAATACGTTGCAGCAACATCAAGTGTTTGTCATGCAATTTGGCTCAGGTACATATTGCAAGATCTCGGCATGTCTCAAGAAGAAGAAGCAACAATATTCGTGGACAACAAGTCAGCAATCACATTAGCAAAGAATCCAGTGTTTTATGATCGAAGTAAGCACATAGACACTAGATATCATTTCATCCGGTGAAAGATAGCGAAGAAGGAAGTTCAAGTAGAGTATGTGAAGACTCAAGACCAAGTCGCTGATATTCTCACAAAGCCACTCAAGCATGATGTCTTTGCAAAGATGCGGGATCTACTAGGTGTTGCTAAGTCAAGTTTAAGAGGGGATGTTAGAAATTAAACTTGGCTTAGCCCAATCATTGGGTCCATTAGAAGTCAACTTATTGGGCTAGTAGTTGTATGAGAAATAATAAATTAGTTAGCCCATAAGTTAGAGTTAATAAAGAAAGGTGTAGAGTACTCTTTA